GTAGCCACAGTGATGAATGCTGACTTCTTTTCACATTGTCAAGTGTTGACCAAATTCAAGTGCATGTCATTTTCAACTGAGCACAGTTCCTGCCGCCTAGCATCGAGGCTCTTAGCTGAAACACTTTGTAAACCTAAGCAACACAAGTTTGTAGACAAATATCTTATATAAAAATAAACTTGTGTGATGATCAGAAAATGAACGTGTGAGCATACTGGGCTTCAGAGATGACCCACTGACACTTGAAGTCAATTGAGACTGAGTAGCACAAAACCCAATTGAACTGGACAAACACAAAGCCACAAAAAGAAAAACAAACTCATTACCATCAAATCAAAATGGCCACAAAGGACTGAAAATATGATTCAGACACAAGACTATATTTTTCACCCTTTATATTTACACACATAGCACCTGTGACGGGGCAAAACCCTCATATACAAACACAAAAATCTTTTTTTTAAAAGAATTTGCTTGAACAAGATCACTTTTCAGTATCTAGATGGATTTGTGTTAAATCTGAAGCCAACCCTAGTGTGTGGAGATAACAATTAAAGAAATGTATTGATATTCTTCATCAGAAGAATATAGAGCAATTTATTATCAATGGTTTAACTTATCCAATCACATTGTAGCCACTGCCTGAAAGGAAAAATAATAATTGCAAATCTTAAACATTAATTTCTGGGCATTATTTTTCTTTACTTATAATTTGCAACTGAAGTACAAAAATGTATTGATTTCCAGATTTTAAGTAAATGTTAAAAAATACTTCTAAGCAGCAGTATACATAAGCCAGTAATCAGAGCTCCTTAGGTACATGCAAACAAGTCCAATTATGTATTAAGGCGTCCCACTTTTCCCCCACTCACCACATCTCTTTCTGCTTCAACAGAGGTACTCTACAAGGTCCCCCACATTTAAAAGCAGCCTGCAGGGTGGCTCAGGTGAAAATGATGGGCCCTACAAGCTGTACTGCTTATGGACAAGCTGTCTGCAGCTCTCTGGATCCCAGCCACAGTAAATAGCAATGCAGCTAGCCAAGATGACACACACACAAAATTAATCCCAAAATGAACTTTTAACTAGCTGTTCTTGTGGGGATTATTTTTAGTATCAGTCTTTTTCTGTCAATCTCCCCCCGTCCCCAAATTCTTAGAGCATCAATAGCTGCATTGGTACAATACCATAAAGAGGGCATATGTTGCACAGTACTTCTGGTCAATACACAGGCCTTAATACGTAGAATTAGGATACAGTGTGGTAGGACTGTGATTTCAGAGTTACGTAAGTGTATCCTAAAACAGATGGCAATGAGCCAGAAAGTAATGCACTGGTAGTTTCGTATCAAAGAACAACCCCAATAAACTGCACAGGAATCCATCAAGCATCTCTCTTCAACCTGATAGCAAATTTATTTTGTCCAAAAAATTGTCAGTAGTAAAGCATGAGATAAAGTGCTACTATTTGAAATTCAAGAAATGTAGGTAAAACCCTTTATAAATTGTGTTAAATATCAAGTAACTTCACCAGCAAATATTGTCAGTCAAGGTCTCTAGAAGATTCATCTCAAATTATCAACATAGTGGTCTTCAAGTCACTCTGTACAAATAAACTATATGCCAGGAACATTTGTTTTAAAGCAATTAAAATTTAACCATATGTGCATTAATAATCTTTAAAAGCAAAGAATTCCCCTTAAGAATCTTAAAACGTCTCAATTCAGAAAGTAATTGATGTGCAAGGAAAATTAAAAAGTTCATGTTTTTTTTAAGTTCCCTGCATTTTGGCTTTGGTTTGTCTCTCTAGCTTGGCTGCATCAGGTGAATTAATGTGAATATATTATTCTTCTCGTTGAGCATCTCCAATATTCAAATTAATGTGTGTCTACAACTTTAATCAATCAAATATCCCGCTTTGCTAATAACTAGACTTTATTATGACTAATCTTCCTTTGTGGCATGCAGTAATGGCACAAAATTAAAAAATCAATGGTGTCGTGGTGCTGAAAGCAAAGACTCTACTTGTTTTGAAGGGCAACCAGGTATTATAATTTGGAAGTGTCCCAAGGTGCATATATATCTCCCCAGTTCAGAAGTAAGCCACTGCATTCATGTTTAAGGCATCTTTCTCAACATATTCATTCAGAAACAAATCCACTTTTTAATTAGGTGTGGCCATTGGCTGCAATTGCATGACTAGTCTAAGCACATTAAGTTGAACGTAGGGCTGTATCTACACAGGGCCACCAAAAATGTCCCCTGCTATGGCAGCAGCAGTCTGATTGGAACTAGGTGAGAAGGGGGCCCTCCACATCACCTCTTCTCATGCTGCTGCTGCCCTACCTCTGCTCCTTTCTCTCTTCTCCATCACATATGCAAAAAATACAGAGCAGCAGAGCTTACACTGGGGACCCCGCGCCCTGCCAATGTCCTGGAATTTCTTCCCTTCCCCTTAGACCAGCTGCAGTGTAAATATAGCTGAGTAGAGACAGCGAAAATTATTTTTAAGGGCTAAGGGAGCAGATTGGCACATGGCAACAAACTGCCCTGCACCAGGGCTATTTTGGGGCAGGAACGCATAGGAACGGAGTTACGGATGGCTTCAGAGCTGGCCACGCCCACTACAGCCAAAACCTCGGCGTGTGTGGCTACAGAGGGAAGGCCTGGAGAGTGAACCCCACCGGTGACTCCGAGGCGGGTGGGCCGGGGGGCCCCTGGAAGGATTGGGGAGGCATTTAAATGCCTCCCCTGGCCTGTCTAAGCAGCCACGGGGCGCCCAGGCAAGCCAAGGGAAGGCATGGGGGTGTGGCCTAATATGCTAATGAATTTCTACTGTTGGGTGTGGTCTATTATGCTAATGAGTCCCTGCTGGGACTTTCTACAAAAAAAGCCCTGCGGCCTGCACCATGTTGAAAGCAGAGATTAGCACCACCTTGTGGTAGCTGTGGGTGGAGCATCCAGAAGGATGATCTACTTGTGGCCTCCCTGCAACTGTATATTGGATCAAAGAGGGTTTGGGGTAGGGGAGCCCTGAGAAGCTAATGAGCTGTGCTCAAAATGAGTACGTCACACGGATATTCCCTTTAAATGCAGGGGTTTCCTGTTATCTGTTCTGTTGGGACATAGATAGGTCAGGCTTTGCATAATATGCAGAACTCAGCTAACATAGACCAGACCTCAGAAGGTGCGACCATTTATGATGGAAGCAGAAGAAAGACTGGCTTTAGGCAGGAATTGGGAGGACCAGGCCCTCAGCTACATCTCCTACTTCCTTGAAGACAGAGATCATTATGAGTGG